AAGGTTGAAAAGCTCAGATCAGCGATGCGTCACCATCGAGACTAAAAACAGCAAAAACAGAACTCACTTTGATCTCAGTGCTTTTAGATATAATGACAGTGAGAGAGAGAGAGAGAGAGAGAGAGAGAGAGAGAGAGAGAGAGAGAGAGAGAGAGAGAGAGAGGGGGATCATTAAACATGTATGAAACCCACAGAGCCACTTACGCTTCGTATTTACTGGCAAGAATCACTTTGACTTGGGGCAGGAGGTCAACACAGCAGCCAAGTGACAAACATGGTGCTTCAGTTTGAAGACTGATGAGACACAAAACACATGAAAGATGAAAAAATAAATTAAAAACACAGTTGTGTACTGGAAACGTGGGGAGACACAGAAAAGCAAAAAAATGTGTCCAAACTGTCTGAATAGTTTAAATTCAGCCTCCGATTGTCAACGGATAAAAACCAAAGCAGCGATATTAAAACATCCAAACAAGCCGAAGTTACAGGAACGAGTCAACAACCTCTAAACCTGGAGCTTTACAACATATATGAACGGATGACAGTTTATTCTACTCTTTAAAGATAATTTATTTGCATTGAAGAGAAATTGATTTCAATGCATAAGCTTATCTTTAATTATGAATACAAACAGTAAGGACATGAAGGAGTTTGTAACTTCAATCTGACCAATTGTGCTGATCAAAAGCTTTTTATTTGTTATATATTAAAAAAAGATATGTCACAAAATCATAATTTGGATTATTATGCTACATGCTCTTATTATGTAAAAGGGAAACACATGAAACACCCAGATGAGACTCACTCTTTAGTTAAGACAGGTAAGCAGTCAAGCAGCACCCCTGTGTCTTGAAATCTGAAGAACAAAATGATGATTAGAAATGAAACAAGTTCACTATAATTAAAATGTGGATGAACATAATGTGAAAGTTTTACCTTATGAGATAGGCCACTAATTCACTGGCGTTTCTTCGCCATAGTGTTTGAGCCACTTGAAGTCGTAGATTCCTTCCAAAAAGGATGTGAGTCATAGCTTCGTGGTCCTTCGACAGCTGCACAGAACAGATAAGCAAAGCACAAAAGAAAAGTCAGTCTACGAGCTGAACAAAAGAATTCAAAGAACCGGGTTTATTAGACGAATAAAGAGAAACAGCACTTTGAATCCTCACCTCGGCAAAGTCGCTGTACTTGGAGCTGGCCCCTGCCATCTTGGAGGCCTCTGCAGAGTTCACAGGGAGCCCACAGTTGTCATTGTAGTGAATGCCCCGCACGTCATCGGAGCACGTCAGCTCATTTTCTTTGTTGGCCATGCCGGGGTCACGGGCACAGCCTACATCTGACGCTCTACGGTGCAGCTTCGCGCCCACCTCCACCTGCGGACAACCCTTCCTCTTGCAAGACGACAATCGCTTTGCTGCGCTCGGACTGCGTACTCCGTAATGCACCTGAAATCTGCAGAGAGGGAAATCGAGATGGAGCAGATGCGAAGCAAACTCGTTTTGAAGAAACGTTTAAAAAAAAAAAAGAAAGTAAATCCAGAGATAAGGTGAAGTGGTTATGAGAAGGTGCCTTAATGGTCCAGCAGTGACTGACAGGGATGATCTGCGGGACACAGATAATGATGTGATCAGAATTAAGATGAATCCCATGATGTGGATCAGACACTCACCTTTCTTTATCTAACTCGTCCTTATTTATAATATCCACCTAAAACAAAAGGATATGGGATGAGGCCACTACTAAACATCTCTTCTTCTACTCCACCACCACCTCCTCCACCACTGAACTGAGCTTCACAGTCACCAGCATTCAATAATGTGGACAATCACTCTGATAAACAAAGTCCTGAATGTCTCCACACCTGCTTCATGTTCTTGTCAGCAGGAAGGTGCAGGCAGGATCACAGAAAGCCATTGGACTGATTCCGGGTGAGCTCTCAGACTTTTCCAGTTTCCAGACGAGCTTCAGCAGCTTCCATGACACGGGACTCTGCTGGACAAACACAGTGTGGGACGCTCACTGGTTAAAACACTTTCACTTGTGTGTCCAGTTTGTCTTCGTGTAACACGACCTGCAGACTCTGAGACGGAAAACTTGAGAACGAGACTGAACAGAGATGCACTTTACTTAACGAAGGCGTTGGCTGCAGAGATAAAGAAAAACACACCGGAGTTAGCTAACCGAGCTAAGAGGCGCCACCGTCAGCGGAGTGAGTCGAGTTTAATGGTTCGAGTCCGGCTGCAAATAAGAAACTACGAAGTTCAGATCGGCCGCTCTTCGTCACTTAGCTTCAGCTGTTAGCCTTTAGCTCAGCGCGTCAAAGCGGCGCTAGCCGGGGCCAGCTAGTAGCAGCTAGCTAACTAGCTAGTTAGCTTAGCTAGCATCCCAACTCTGTGGACATATGTCTAACACAGGTGACACTTCCCGCCTCCCACCCCCCCACACGTCGCGTTCACAGTTCGAACCCCAAAGTGGAACACAAACCGTGTCATGGTGTCGGGGGTCTCCAGGTCTCAGCGGGTTTTCACGAGCTAACGAACTCTGTGTGTGTGTGTGTGTGTGTCAGCAGGTTAGCTAACGTCCAACATTCAAATGTACGCTCCGCCGGTGTGTGTGTGTGTGTGAGTGAGAGGATCGTGGGGTCGATTCCTGTGCAAAAGGAAAAAGAAATGGAGATTTAGCGACGACTGCTGCACACGAAGGGAATTTAAACACCTCGGTGCTGCAGCGCCACCTGGTGTCGAGCGGTGAGGCTGCAGGGGGGGGGGGGGGTATCATCAAACATGTAAAATACATGGATGTAGACAAACCACACAGATATCACTTAGTTTTTATTTCATTGTGTTTGTTTAGTACCATCAAGATTTATTTGTTCTGTTTGTTTGTGTCTTACTCTTTCTAATTTCACTATCCATGATATAAACAGCAACTTCAGTCCTGTATTTATTCTACTTATTTGTTATCTGGTACTTTCTCTATGTACAGTATGTATTAATACACAGTACAAATACATATAACACGTTTTTAAAACAATAGCAGCTGAACACAGTGCAAGACAAGAAGACACAATGTGTGAAATACAAGAGAAGAGTCAGATAAAATAACACACCAGCATCAAATTAATTAGAGTCAATTAAAATAATTAAGATTGGGGCATAATTCAAGGTAGAACTCGTTACGTTTTGGTGTTTGGATTATTATTAATTCCCCTTTTTTAAAATTCGGAGGGTGTACAAAAAGATTTTCCTCCTGTTCTCAGAGAATCATTTAATGGTTTAAATGTTTAGGGGACTGATATCTACGAGTGTATTGCTCTAAAGATTCTATTGCTTTTCTCTTTGAGGAGAAATAGATAAATACAATTTCACACGTAAGTACAGCAAACAGGAACAAGACACCGTCTGCTGCAGGACTCCTTGTTCCTGTCTCTGGAGATAATTTGTGGTGAGGTCATCGTGCAGAGTGAACCTGAGACTGAAGTAAATACTTTAATATTTCTATAAAAAGCTCCAATTCAATTTCTTATAAATTCATTTCATTACCTGTTAATTCCTAAAACAACCATCACCTCTCTCATCTTTAATACTGCTCTAAAAGTTGCTTTATTGATTTTTCAAACCTACCTATGTATTTTTAGCTTAATTTTAAAACAACCCAGCTTTGAATTATCATATTGTTTTTGTCCGTTTGTTCAAAGTTGGACTGATCTTATAACAACCACATCTGTATTCAGTTTATTTTTGTGACACACGATGACAAGATTGAATTTCTGCTGTTTACAAGATTTTTCCATTCACATCATCCACATTTTCGGGTCTCACAATTGAATGATCTGGTCCTTTGGTTATGACACAACACCTTGAGCAATGTTCCACACACAACAGAAAACAGATATATGCATAAATAAATAGCCAGGATGACATAAAGCAATGTTTTCCTGTTTTAGCCTCTGGTGTGTGATGTGGTCAGTTTTAAAGTGTGTTTCTAACTTTTCATGCAACATAT